TGTCGATGACTGCTTGAACGACAGTGTCTGATATTTTATCAGGAAGTGCGTGTAAAACACAAAAACGTGTGCATACGTCTACCATGACTAAGAGATAATTGTTTCCGCGATGGCTTGTGCCGAAGCCGCTTGCAAGATCAATTGTCCAATGATCACCCGGATAGAATGCATGAAGAGGTCTCAAAGGGTTATAACCTTTCTTGGTGATGTTGAATCGCTGGCATTCAGGGCAGCTTTTTACAATGTGTGCGGCTTCTTTGTACATATTGTTCCATTTCAAACCATCATTGTGTAGTGCTTTTGTGATAGCTTCAGCGCCAAAGTGACCAAATGCATGTGCTTTTTTGAGTAATTCCAGTCTTTCATGTTCGGGTGGTTCAAAATAGATGTCATCATCTATGTTGTCAGTGTTATTACTTGTTTGTGTGTTTACTGTGAGAGTCTTATTTAGTACAGTGTTATTGTTTGTATGAATTTGTGTAGCACTACCCCCTTCCAGCTCTTTTTCATCGATGTGAAAAAGGCGAGATAATTGATCAGGAAGGATGTTATCTAATCCTAGTAGGTGAATAATTTCATAGTCGTATTGTAAGATGGTGTCAAACCAACTGATCATCATAGCGTTGGCTATTTTTTGTGTATGGAGGAAGGTCAATGCTTTGTGATCCGTGTATAATTTAAACGGTTTGCCATATAAATATTTGTGGAATTTGTCAAGTGCAAATATAATAGCTCTGAGCTCACGTCGTGGAGTGCTATAGGATCTTTCTGACTTGGAGAGTGCTCTAGCCATGAAAGCAATATGACGTGTTTCACCATCTATGACTTGGAAAAGTGCTGCAGCGATTCCGGTATTTGAAGCGTCAGTTGCAACCTGAAAAGGGTGTGATAAATCGGGAAAGCGCAGGATGGGAGCTTCAAGTAGCATTTTCTTTAACATGTCAAAACTGTGTTGTTCTTTTTGTGTCCATAAACCTTTTAAAGATTTGGCATTGCGAAGTCGGTCTAAAGGTGCCATAACTTCAGAGACTTTTGGTAGGTAAGAGCGCATGTAATTGATAGTACCACAGAAGGCAGCTATAGCTTTGCCAGTTGTAGGTGTAGGGATATTTTGGATGTTGCATACTTTGCGTTTATCCAGTGATACACCTTCGGTGGATACACAGTGGCCAAGTAAGTAGACACAACGTTGTGCATATACGGCTTTGTCATGATTGATGCGGAAATTTACCTCAGTTAATTTGTCAATTACTGCGGCGACATGGATAGCATGTTCTTCTATGCTGTTTGAGAAGATAATGACGTCATCAATGAACGCACGAACGAAGGGCATCTCTCTAAGAAGAACTGTTAAACAACGAGTAAATACCGAAGAAAGATGACGTAATCCATAGCAAGCTCCTCGGAACTGGTATTGGATGTGTCCTTCAATCGTGAAAGCAGTTCGTTCTCGATGTGGTTCATAGAGAGGTAAAGAAGTGAAAGCAAATTTTACATCGAGGCAGGTAGTAACGATGGTGCGATTTGAATTACCGCTGTTGTCATTGCCTTGGATAGCTGCAATAACATCACTTAATAATAGAAGTGGATGTTGTTCACATTGTAATAAATGCTGGTTGATTAAGCGGACATCCATACAGATTCTACGCTTGTTTGTATCATATGCACCTGTAACAGGATCTTTCTTTGGTGCTAGTGTGATGGGACTATTCCATGCTGTGCCAGCAGGTGCAGGTTCAATAATGCCCTCATCTAACCAGGTTTTGATCTGATTGTCAATTAAATCCTTAAAAGCAATTGGTAATGGGTACTGACGTCGATGGCAGACAATACCTTCTGGAACATCAAGACGGACCACTGCTTCAGGCATTGTACATAACGCGCGTTTAGGAATTTGTGCATTGCGATCAAGAGAAGGTTGGATAGCTTGTAAAAACTGTTTCCTTTGTTCTTCTGTGCTATATGGCGAATTATTAGGTTTGGGTAAATCAATAATTTGTTTCTCATTGTTTGGTGTCAGTGGCTCCCATGATGTGGCTAAACCAGTAATACCAATTCCGAGTTTAAACATCAAATCCAGACCAATGGTGACTGGTGTTGTTCCGGATAATTCCATGATGTAAAAATTGTGTTTGAATGTTTTCCCATTGTACTGTAGTTCAACATTTTCAAGTAAACCTAAAAGGTAGGCTGCTACATCCTTTGCTGCTAAAGTAATGGATATATTTTTTACTGCACTTTTATTGATTTTAAGTACAGATGTTGACTCTATGTTGTGTAACCATGTGGGTGTGATAAAAGACTTGTTGGCACCTATGTCGACTAATCCGAAGACTTGCTTAGTCTGTACAGTGATAGGAACAATGAGTGAGTCAATGTCATCTGTTGCTTGCAGTGTGTTATTTATTTGTGTTGTGCGGTTGATGTAATTACCTGTGATATCCATTCCATCCAATGAAATGTGATTAAGTGTTTCTTCATCCCGCTTTGATGGTGTAGTAGAAGAAGACGAGGAAGGAGACGAGGATATGTGTACAGAGCGATTGCTCACCATTGTTGTTGACGTTCCTGACTTCTTTTTTCCTTTTGCATCAAAATATTCTTGGCAGCGGTGGCCTAAGACATATAAAACTTTTTTACAATAACGATATAGGTTGTCTGAACCTGTTGATTGCCGGTTATTGCGGACTTGTTGTTGTACTGCTTCCCGCTGGCACTAGAGAACGTGGCAATCCGTCGCCGAGTGATTTCCTTTTGGATGGACAGGACAATCACCATAATGACGAGGATGGCGAGAAGCTGGTGCTGGCGATGAGGAGGACGAAGACAGGTGTTCATTACCCATGCGACGTTTCTTTCCTGGTGCATGGATGCTCGCATAACTACCGTTGTCTTGAAACTTGTCAACGAATTCACCCAATGTGGAAATTATGAGTTGCACGACCTCAGTGACTTCAGATCGCCAATCTACACCATACTGTCTTGCTAGTACTGGGTAGATCTTTTCGCGGATCGAAGGTGGCAACGACGAAATGAAATCGAACGTCACGTCACGACCGCTGGCTCTTCCTGCCTCGTGTGCTAATGACATCCATCGTTCGGCATAGACACAGATCGCTTCATTGGCTTGCGGACGAGCGACAAAAAGCTCATGACGCTTGAGGTACATATGAAACGGATTGCCGTATTCCTTCTTGATTTCGGCGCAGGCTTGTCTCCAATTCAACTGGCGGTCAGCAACGTCTCGGCGAAACCAAGTCATTTGGTTGTCATCTAGACATAACCAGAAAAGACGTTCCCAATTGCCATCAAGGTCAATGCTATGGCTGCGCAATTGGATTTCAAAGGTGGAAATGAAAGCAGAGACGGAATTGTGCACTGGCTTTGACGAATCTCGGACAGGGCCTCCTTGTACTTGTAGTATCGGCAGGTTCTTCGGAGCAATGGAGCTTGCCTTTCGATCTTCGAACTGTTCGGACATGCTGAGTGCTTGCTGAGTAGCTTGGTAGATCTTGAATGCATCAAGTGCTTCTTTGTGTGCCTGTTTTAGCTGGGATAGGTCATCCGGTGAAGCATCTTGCGCCTGCAAATATTCTTCGGTGGCTTTTGCTAAGCGTGCCTTGAGGATAGCTCCCATGTTAGACGGTGTCAGCTTCCTTTGTTCCAGGTAGGTACTCGGTGTAATTACAGGATTTTGAATCCAATCCCGGACACGGGCTCTAAAATTTTCGCGAACGGGATTTTTTTTTTCGCTCATGGGATTTTTTTTTTGGTTTACGGGATTTACCATTTCGTTCGCGGGCTTCTTTTTCGCCAATGAGGTTTTCCATTTGGCCAACGGCGTTTTGATTTGGCCAACAGCATTTTATTTCGCTAATGGCCCCTTTTTTCGCTAACGGCATTTTCACTTGGTCAACGGCCCCCTTTTTCACTAACGGCGTTACTAATTTGCTTACAGCATTTTATTTCGTCAACGGCATCGTCACTTGGGCAACGGCCCCTTATTTGGTCAACGACATCATTATTTCGCTTACAGTTTTTTTTTATTTCGCTAACGGCATCTCACTTGGTCAATGGCTCTCTTTTCCGCTAACGGAATTACTAATTTGCTCACAGCAATTTATTTCGTCAACGGCATCGTCACTTGGGCAACGGCCCCTCATTTGGTCAACGACATCATCATTCCGCTTACAGTTTTTTTTATTTTACTAACAGCATTTTCACTTGGTCAACGGCCCTCTTTTTCGCTAACGGAATTACTAATTTGCTCACAGCATTTTTTTCTTGTCAACAGCATCGTCACTTGGCCAACAGTCCCTCATTTGGCTTACAGCATTATTGTTTCGCCCTTGTTACTGTCGCTTGGCTAGCAGCATTTTTAACCATTAGTCTTTGCTTTTTGGTGCCTGCGTCTTGTACTTATTCAAGCAAAGGTGCTTTAAGCAACCTAGTACTTTGACCCGCAATATCGCCCAGAATAAGTATGCTGTAACTCTTTACTTGTCGACCATATACAGACATATCTGTGCAAATGCAACTTGACCTTAAAACGTGCCATGCACTATCCTGAAGCCCGCACAGACAATGTGACTAAGGACAATTGTAAAGATTACGTGCGCAAGCATATCCAAAATGGCAAACTTGACTATTGGCTAACTGTGTTCATTGATGAGAGGTCGTTGACTGGTGACAAGAAACTCTGCTCGGTCGAAATGTGACACCGTTGTGTATGTCGGTCTTCCGTCGATGTGGACTGCATCAAAAACCCTTCTAGCAGCCATTAGTCATACTGGTTTTGTCGAGTCTACCATCAGATCAGGCAAAGGAGGAACAAAAGCAGTAGTTTTTTTTTGTTTTGGAAAGCGTGATGGATGTCCTCGATGAAGATGTATGTCGTGGTGGTAATTCTGTTTGTGACAATGCGCCTATTTATACACCAGGATTTCGAGTAGTCGAAAAGCGCAGATACAATCTTGTCTTCCTGCCGCCTATTCGCCTTTTTAGAACCTGATCGAAGAGTTTTTCTCAAGGTGAAGGCTCTTTACAAACAAGCCATCATCAAGGATTGATGTACAAGAAGAGCAGGCAGCAGAAGAGCAAGTGAAAGGGAAGGAAGCATAAGGGCCAGAAGTTCCAGAATGGGAGAGGCGTTTGGCGGATGCCATCAGGTACGTTCCTTGAAAGATAATATTGCACGGATCACGCATTCCACTACTTTCTTTCCCGTTGTCTTGCACAAGAAGACAGCCTGTAGTTATGAGGCAACAACAGCAATTCCCCACTTACCTTTCGCGTTATCTCTATAACCACGCTTGTATTCACCTTTCTGCGATTTATCTTCATACCAATCTCTGTGTCTTACTGTATTCTATTTATCATATCAACAACTACTCTCGACAATATATTATGCTTATATTTCTCAAACTCTCAGTAGTATTTTAGGCTTAAATGGCTTTATTTAGTGTTCAGTAAGTCATGTGTCAGCATTAATAAGCAAGCGAGTGCAGCGAGCGATAGATTTCGTATTTGCCGAAGCGAAGTGGCGTTCAGGATGATCAATAAATAAAAACGATATGCATTAGCCTCTTACTAATTTACATAAAGCATGTTTGCTACAGTACTAACCATCTGGATCTTCTCCACGTTCTATGCGTGCTGCCCTGATTTGATCATTTGTTTTATAGATTTCTGCCTCTATTTGGAGAGCAGCGGCAATGGTGATTCCAACGGCATCAGCTACTTCTCTACGACTAGCGTGCAGCCACTCCCTTGTACAATAGCGTAGCTCGATGTACTTGACAGACTGCTCTGATGTATAATAACTATTGTCTGGGACAATGGCTGTATCGTCCGAAGGAGGAGGCGAAGGCGTTGGTGAGCGAGGTACAACTGCATCGTCGTTTGAAGACATAGGAATATGAATGAGTGAATGAGGTGAAAAAGCCTTCATTCTTAGGGCATATCTATATATACCTGCAAACTGAAATGGCGTTTTTGACGAGAATACAAATCCAAAAATCTCTCCAATTTAGATGACAGTCCTTTAAGCACTATCGAATAATTTCATGGAAGATTATCCGCAAGTAGAATGTAATGCTTTTGCTTTTATACAAATAGAAATGCTCTATGCGACGCAACATGCCATTTTCATTTTTTTAATCTTTTTATCATTTTGAAAACTAAGAATCAGACATTGTCAACCATCCAGCGAGTGACAATGGCCTCATCTTGTTATATGATAGAAGCATCTATATAGCTTCATATTTTACGCCTTGTTTTTGTTTGGCTATCTTTTCGATGAAAAAGGACTATATGTAGAATAAAAGATATTTGTATGACAGCCCAAAAAGGAATATCCTGCAAATGATGAGTTTCTCTTGAAATTGGTATTTACAAAAATAAGTTTTCATCCCGCTTTCATCCCAATTCTCTTTCTGTACACTGTACCATGGGAAGAGTAAGAAATAACAAACCAAAGAAGCACTCAAGCACCACGAAACGTGTGGCTAAAAAGTTGGAGGCACCTACTGTTGAAGAACTCGAATCAGCTGTCGAAGAACTACACTCTTTGACAGAAAATATTGAAGAAGCTCAGCAAAACTGGGTTCCTACCGAGTATGATGTTGCCATCCTGGCAAAAGCATTGGAGCAGCTAAAGCTTGGATCATCAAGCAATCAAACTGGTAATGTCTAGAAGAACAGAGAAACGGCGAACACGTCACCTTAGCGCTAAAAGTGAAAAGAGTGTATCAACTATTCATATCCGTAACCACGTACACGGAAGAGCTAACCAAATTGTATAGGTGAAACAAGAGAGGAACAACGCTAAGTTTAGCCGTCGTACATCACATATTAGAAATAACTTTGTTTAAGCTCTACGTATGTCTTGTACTCCGTTTGCACAAACAGCCTCTATAAATATTGGTACCTGTTGCGCCTTTATTCCCCCTATTAAAATCAATAAACTCGACTATGAAAACACGCTCCCAAGCACGATCTGAAACACACCAGCAATCACGCCCTCAGCAAGGGAACATCTCCAACCTTCAAACAAAAAAAATTATCAAGAAACGATCCACAGAAAAGTCGCCATTGAAGCGCTTAATTAAAGCGATGAGTGATATGGATATAGTTGATACCCATCAGCCCTTTGGTATATACTTGCCTTCCTTTTAGATAAGAATATGCATGCATTGTATTTGTCAATTTTCTTATAGGATCTTATAAACAGCCAATACCACATCCACCAGCATTCCTAATGAGGATACAAACATGGAACCAATTGATATTGTCCATGAAGAGGAGCTCGACGATGCACCGAGTGAATATCAAATCAGTTGCTTTCCGATCGAACAATCCCGTCTGATACAGCCAAACGATGGTATCGACTCTTCTGACGATGCTGGCACCAGCAGCTCTGAAGAGGAGGAAGGTGAAGAGCTAACAGTGCTTTCAGTTGGCGCTGGCTCTCCTCCCGTCAGTTCGAGTAGCAGCGATGTCATTGAGCATCAAAGAGCCAGAAAAAAGACCACCACAACGCCTACCACCCGACGTGGACCAAGTACGCCACATTCCCTGCAGCAGATGCAACAAACTTTGTTGTTACGCGCTGCTGGCGCCAAGTACCGCACCATATCTCGTGTATCAGGTGTTGCCAAATCCAGCATCTTCGATCACAAAAAGAGATATGCAGAACGTGATGGAAATGCAAATCCCATCAAACATAAAGGAAAATCATTGCCAAAAATCACTAAGGAAGGCAGTAATTTCCTTGTGGAGACGGTGACCACTGCAAATACAGTGACGTTAGAGCAGATTAAGATGCTATACTTTAATCGCTTCTCTGTGCTGCTTGACGCATCTACCATATATCGCCATTTAGTAGAGAAATGCAGAATCACGATCAAGCGAGCACATCCGTACCCAGAGCGGCGTACCGACGAAACAACAAAAGACTTGCGCTTCGATTTCGTTCAACAGTATATTAGCAGCAACATACTGGACTATAAGAATAATTGCGTATTTGTCGACGAAGCATCGGTGACCGCAAACATGCGACGCAACCATGCATGGTCACGAGCTGGAGAGGTGGCGCATGTTAAAGTACCGCACATGTATGCTCGCTCGCGCTCCATGCTTGTAGCCATCTGCTCCACAGGCATTGTTAAAGCATGCACCAAAATCAACAGGGGAGGAACGGGAGGTGGAACAAAAACCGTCCACTTCTTCGCCTTTTTGAAGCAAGTAATGGACGAACTTGATCAGCGAGACTTGCAGGATAAAGGCTGGAATATTGTATGCGACAATGCCAGAATACATACAGCCAATTACATCAGCAACGAGGTCACCGAACGTGGCTACAGGCTCGTCTTTTTGCCCCGGTATTCACCATTTTTAAATCCGATTGAGGAGTTTTTCTCTAAAGTCAAGGTGCTTTACCGGCAAATCGACTTGGCACAACACGAGCAACAGCAGCAACAACAACAACAGCAACAATCGCAGCAGCAAGGTGTAGTAAAGACGGTGGAGCAACGTTTGGCTGACTCTATGAAGAGAGTCAAAAAAGAAGACTTTGAGAACTACACTGCCCATTCGATTACGTTCTTTGATCGATGCCTTGCTCGTGAAGACAACCTGTAACTGTTCGCACATTTCCTGTATCCTTTATATCCGCCATATACTATATCCCTACACCACCACCAGTTACACCATATCACTTTTTGTTCTTTTAACAATTTTTAATCAAGTTTACATCGACCATATGTACTTTTGACTTAGGCAGCAGCTAGGGAAAAAAGGAAAGTGAAGAAAGAAGTTAAGCGGGCGGAAGAGAAAAAGGCAGCTGGAAGAAACATGTTAAGCAGGTAGCATAAATAAGAGAGTGAGATGACATCGGAATACATATAAGCATAAACAGAAGAGTGAGATGACAGATGAAGTGGGACAATAAAGAGAAGAAGCATAACGAGTAAGGAGGGACAGGCGACTATTAAGAGAAGAAGCATAACGAGTAAGGAGGGATAGGCGACAATAAAAAGAAGAAGCATAAAGAGTAAGGAGGGACAGGCGGAGATAAAATGTGAATGGTAAAGGAGTGACTGGAGAAAAAGTACAAAGAAAGGGAGGGCATTTATGGACACTGACCACAGGAACATTTAAAGCAGGTAACGCACGCTCGTAGATCAGGTGCTTGCATACTGCTAATGACTGCTCCCATGCGCGTCCAAAGAGTGTCAGTTAACGTCAGCGCATCTTGCTCCGTTGGTCGATGTCGCTTGGCACTCAATGCAACGTGTTTGAACAAGATTTCGGCAGGATTGAGCACCCCACTGCAATGTGGCAAAAACACTGCTTTGTGGTCTTTGGCTTCAACCAACTGACAAATCGTCGCCTTTGTCTCTTCTGGAACATCGTCAAAGACAATGCTCCGGGAACGAAGCTTCTTCACATCCATCTCGGCGAAGAGTCTGCGAAGGAACTTCTTGACATCGTCGTTGTTAGTGGGCCCTTCGCAGTTTTTGTTGCTAAAGTGGAGGACCTCACTACGAGTAAAGCCGACGAGGAACGTGGAGGTGGCTTCCAAGGGTTCCAAGGGCTTAACCTTGGGCTCGTGCACCTTACCAACAGCTGCTGCTTTCTGTGCCCTCGCTTGCGTCTTCTTGGCATCAGCGTAAGTACGATTGCTGTTGATGTGGTAAGCCATTTCACCAACAAAAACACAAGTGGCTGCGCTGACACCTTGCTCATACACACTGTGCAGGCAATCTTGTACATCTACAAGCATCTCTGCCTCATCCGGGGCTCGAGCCAGACTCTTGAACGCACGGACGGTGATGCCAAGGTTCTTCTGCACATACGTCTTCAACATGGTTCGGCTCACCGCTGCTTCATCGTAGTTTCTCTGATATGCATCAAAGATATCGTTGTGTGAGGCAGCAGCGTGCTGGTCGACATATCTGCAAAGAAACTTGTGCATATCTTCCGTTACGCTTTTCTTTTCTGCCTTCCGGTAAGTACTACTTTCGGCATACTTCTGCTTGCGGGTGCGCAACGTGCTAGGTGCGATGCCGTTCTTCATTGCGGCTTTTCGGATTGACAATCCAGCAGCGTTCTGGAGCAGAGCATCCTGCACTATGTTGTTACTGGGGGGATCGTAGTTTCCTCTACGCACACCCGAGGCCTTGCTGCTTGTTGGCCCAGCTGCTTGGCTGTTGCGATGCATTGGCACGTCACCATCACGATCCAAATGTTGCCTCGGCTCGTCTTAAAGAGTCATTATGATGTGTATTTTGTTAGTGGCTTAGAATCTTACTCTATATATTATATCATTTCTATTGCTCTCAATATTGCACCTGCAGCAGATTCCTCGTTCATGCTCAAGCTACTGAGGTCTCGTACAAGGTGGCTTTCCGAACTCGAAGCAGCAGCTGGAGCAGGACCGCGCACACGAGCACGCTTAGCCTGGCCTTGGGCCATATCAGAATCCAAGGTACGTTTGTTGAGTTGGTTATTGTTAGCGCTCATTTTTAAAAGAACAAAGTTGTCAAAGAGAGAGTGTTGGCGAGAAAGAGAGTCGACTTATTCACAACGCCCATAAACATAAAGTGTATACGGTAGCACATCTTTGTTTTCATCGAAATTGACTTATATGTATATGTATCGTATTGATTCATACTCCTATTGTAAGCTCATATGGATACGGAATGTTAAGTATAAACTACTATACAAGGATCTCACCCTCCCGTATTATTTTTCTCTCTGCCTTCCTCTCCCCAGCAATAACATTAGTACCATAATTGAGAAGTAGCGCTCAAAAGGGCTAAACTCCTACATCCAAACGATATACAGGATCAATTCATGTCTATATTGCCCTCGCCATTAATCCCTACCAGAATAATAGCGCTTTTAATT